ATGGTACCCTTAACAATCTAACAATCTGCAAACTATTGTTAATGTGGTAAAATGTTCCTGTCTACTGAATATATATAAATATATATATATGTATATATATATATATACACTGAGTGGCCAGATTATTATGACCACATGACGTTTGTAGGCAAATTAGCTATAATTTTGCGCTGAAGTTGCTAGAGGGCCAGACCATTATAAATAGGGAAGCAGGTTGTTTACCACGACAGTAGAAGTTATTTTTTTTCTGATGATATAGGTAAACAACGCTATTTAACAGCCTTTGAACGTGGGATGATTGTTGGCGCTCGGAGCCGTGGAGCGAGTATCAGTAAAACAGCAGAATGCGTTAAATGTTCAAGAGCAGCTGTTGTTAAAGTGTTTAAAGACTGGACTGTCAGCCGAAAATCTGGGTCTGAACGTGCAAATTGTGGCCGTGAGCGATGTTAGGGCAATGTTAGGGCAGAACGGAGAGTGGCAAGACTGGTACAAGACAACAGAAGGGCAACAGTGCAGTGTCAGATTCCTCGCATCACCTTTCAACATCTCGTGGAGTCACGAGGCGGCCCAACAAAGTCATCTCGTGGAGTCATCTCATGGCCCAACGAAGTACTAATGGGGTGGTCATAATAATCTGGCCACTCAGTGTATATTGTAGTATATCAGCCGAATCTGTAGTCAGCGGCAGGTGGCAGTGTTTTATCCGTTGAATGAGGGTGTAAATCATTTGCTGAATCTAATAATATTAGCATGTAAATGATTACAGCATTCATGTTCCCTGTGCCCTCTAGTGGACTGTGGAACATGCAGAGAATGCATTTTAACAGGGGACTATGAAAAATTAACTAAAATGTTTTGCTCTGACTGTCGTTTTATGAATAGAAAAGGAAAGGTTTAAGGGTTTAAAGGAGCGATCAGATTAGTTTTACGGATAAGCAATCCAGATGAATAAATGGGAGTTTAAATGGTGTCGGCATTACAAAGTCAGTAGATGAGGGTCAAAAGATGGGGGGGAGAAAAAAAGGGTTCCCAGAGTTTTTCAAACTTGGGCATAAAGTCGTAAAAGCGAGTCGAAAGTTTTTAATCGTAAAATGTCTACTAAATCTTATTTTTAACTTCAGAAATAGATGAGGAGTTTGTTATACAGGCTTTCGCTATCGTGAGTTTTGATATATCATTTTTTTTAGACAGATAGAGCTTTCTTTTTTAGACAGATAGAGATTTCATTACCACTGGTATTTGCCACTTTTTCTTATTTTTTAACTATATAAAGGAAAAAAGAACAAAAAATAAACTATTTATCATACTTTCTGTTATAAAACATAGCATATATAAATACCAGTACATTAACCCCCCCCCCCC